CTGGTGGCAATATTGTGTGGGGACCCTGGTGGGGACATAACCAGGGTGTCAGGAGCAGAGGAAAAGCCAAGTAGGTGCTGCTGGCCTGTCCCAGGGGGGTGCAGAGGCAGCTCCTTGGCAGGAACGTGTGGCAGGGACAGTTTGACTAAAGCACAGTGTGTGTGAGCACAGCAGGGCCCACGGGTGMCAAGGCTGTGTGACCTGCAGGGATAAGGATGATTCTGGTGGCAGKGGCTGGTGGGGGCAGATCTCATGCCTGGTGAGCAGCTGGTACCCAYCACCACCTTCCTGTTCACCTGGCACAGGGCAGGGCCATGCCACTGCTTCCAAATACCCCAAAGGAAAGCAGGAGATGTGGGAGCTGAAGACAGGAGRATTTGAAGAGCCACCTGTAAGAGCTGATGACTTCCAAAGGCAGCAAAAGACCTGTCCAAGCTGCATTCTGTGTCTCTGGCACAGGCAGTGCCAGAGGAGCAGGGAGGATCTGCACCCAGAGGTGGTGGAGGTGGGCACGGCCATCATGGTGCTGGTGAGTACCTTCAGTCTTCCTGGGAGCCCCAAGCATTCAGGGATGGATGGGGGAGGTGATGGGCTCCTGGGGATGAACTCCCACACCAGGAGCAGTGGTGGTGGCACCAGGGTGTAACAAGCTGGTGCTGTCAAATCTGGAAATATCCATGCACAAAGGGGGAAGAAGTATAAATGTGATGGGACYTTTTCAGGGAGGGAAGAGAGGAATCTGGGTGTAGATCRGTAGCTGCTGCCCAGGCTGTCCTGCCCCTGAGTATGCCAAAAATGAGCACCCACAGAGCATCATTCCCARACCAGAGGGAAGAGCCTTTGCAGCTGCCAACTGTGGGAGCCCATTAGCTGATTTTATTAATTTGCTAGATGGGTACATGCATCTTAGTGAAAGCCTGTTAACGACTGATAATACGTGATTAATTAGAAGATAATAAACCAGATAAATGTAAGAGCAGCTTCCCTTGGACAGATGGACCACGCTAAATAATGTATGTTCCTTGGCTTAGTCGTGTGCTTGCTTGCTTCTAGTGCACAGTGTGCATGTGCGAAAGGAGAGGCAACACAGCACTTTCCTTGCAGGCCCAGTGCCAGGGCTCGAGTCAGGAACAGAAAAGGAACAGAATGCTGTGAAAATGGGGAAAAATTAATTAAAAATATCTGCTTGCAGGATGTATCCTTTTCCAAGCAAGAAAAACCCTTTTTCTCTCTGGTGGTAGGTCTACCTCCCATTAGTTGTATTAATCATAAAAATACTCGGTGTGTCTGCTTCTACTATTTTGAGGATCGTAGTAAATGATTCTGGGAAATCAGGAATATTGTTTGTGTTGTAAGAGGTCAGAGCAGCCCAGTGTTAGTCCCAGAAGTGTGGGATTTCTGGGGATGTGCTGTGTGTGGCTTGGGAGCACCTGAATTGTAGGGAGTATCCTGGTTCCAGCCCAAGGAAAATCAAGATATCCCCTGGATAGATAGTGACTTAATTCCTCAAAATTCTGCTTCCCCAATGTAACCCAGTGTGAGCTCCTGTGTATTCCCTCAAAGATACATTTGTACAGTAYATACACGTGCATCTCCATAGGCAYGGCATCCACCCACGCTGTGCACCCRCCTGGGGATATCCAGGATGAGGGAACACGGAGCAGCCCTGCACCGGGGCTGGGATGAGGTGACTGGACAAGGTTATTGACAAYCTGGAACAGATAAACCGAGTGAGARGCTAAAAGCATTACAAAGAACCACCAAGSCAGAAAACATCATATTGGGAAAACAGCAGCATAGTTATTCATGCAGAAACCCCATTTATCCCCATTTACCCTTGGTGCAGTGATTTTGATGTCTTTAATGTTTTTGAAGGATGGTGACCCAAAGCCACAGCTGAATTGCAGCTACCTTTATATCTTACAACAATTTTGCTTTCATTTTGGAGATTACTCACCGCTATGCTACTGCTGTGGCTCTGTTCAGCACATTGCCTTGTGTGCCATCCTGTGGTGATGAGTATGGCTCAAGTTACAATTTATTTTTGTATTTAGAAGGTTTAATCAGAACTGGAACAGGATAAGTGCTCTGTTGGAGCAGTTGCTTGGCGTGGAGATACTACACACAGGAGGAGGCCTGGGGTGACCCCTAAGGTTGGGATGAATGGACCATGAGTACAAAAAGGCCAGGGAGAAAATGCAGAATAAGGGGGTTAAAGGGATTATTTTCTTTAAAAGAAACAGGCAACAGGAGCCTTGGACTGAGAGTGGAACCAAAGGGGAGGTTAAATCCATGATTTAGAGGGTTGGAGACACTGCTGCTCAGACTCCTTCTGCAAGGGAGGGTCCATCTCTGAGCTCTATCAATCACACACGTTGGTATGCAGGAGGCTGCTTCAGACATCTGAGAGGTTCTGGAGCAAGAGCTGCTTTTTTCCCCCTTTCCCAAAGTAAAGCAAGTAGGTAGTCTTTGATTTCCAATATTTATTCATATTAATATTGATTCAGCRGTGACTCAGGCCATTTTAAGTGAAACATGTTTATGTAAAGAGCTGGAGCTGTGCTTTGTAAATAGAAAAAAACAGTAAGGTGAGCTGAGGGAAGCATTTGTAGAAGGGAAGAAGAGAGAGAACTCAGGGAATGCATTTCCCTCTGCASCAGTGACCTGCCTCAGGGAGAGAAGGGTGCCCCTCATATACCASATGAATATGATGAACAATTTCACTYATTTCATGTTTTAAGACTTGAGAAACAGGAGGTCAGTGTTCAGAGGAGGTTGTTGCTCAAATCGTGCTCCCATTTTAATGTAGGTTCCCCATTTCCTTATTTATCCWCATCCATACAAAGACCATTCTGTTCTTTGTTCCTGCTCTGGGGACGTTACGCTTTCAAATGTCACCAAGTGTGATCTTTGTGAAGCTGCATTTTCATGGACTTCCTGTCGGTAGCACAAAGGTTCAGAGGGAGATGAATGACATGGTAGTCTGTCACACAGTGCCGGGAAAGCACGGACACAAGCCCTTGTCCGAGCTTCATGGGGATCCTTCTTGCCACCACATTTCGAAGGGGTTGTGGTCTGGTGGGTGTGTGGGTCTGTGCCTGGGCTGCTCTGTCCTTTCTCAGCCTGGGGGAGGCCAGTCCTGTSCAGCTGTTAAAGTGCACCTCCTTCCCTGAAGGGCTTGGAAGAGCTGCAAGGAAGCCGGGAATGTGAGCATTGCCCCCCAGGGACAGARTCCCCGTCCCACACAATGGAAGGATGGGCTGGTCCAGAAAAGGCAGAGGGCTGGATAACAGCTTGGAGCTCACCCTGGAGCTGCCCCAGCCACCACCCCACAGGCACTGCTGCTGCTGCAGACACTGGGGAGCATCTCCTGCCCCAGGACATCCCTCTGCCCACCTGCAGCAGGACTTCACACTCGCCCGTGCTGGGCTGTCACCAGGGAAGGAGAGGATCACCCTGAAGAGCTGAAGTACCTGTGCTGGGGGGGTTTGGACTCCATCAAGGAGGGGCAGCAGGAGCAGGGTCACCCTGCTGCTTGTCACAACAAGCTGACAACAAGCTGCCTGGAAGTCCTGTCCAAGGTCCACCCATGAGATGGGGCTGCCCACCTCAGCCTGAGTTTGGCCAGGAGAGCAGGCTGGACCTGCAGCACAGCTTGAGAGAGGCTCCCAGCACTGGCCTGGCCTTTAATGGAGTTCCCAGTCCAGCAGGCGGGTGGATGGGGACTCACCTGAGGCCACTCAGTGTCCCCAGGGCCTCAGCAGGGTCTGAGGCAGCTCCCTTGGGTCCTTCCATTGCTGGGGCATAGGAAAGGGGCCAAGCAGCTCTTGCACAGACAGCAAAGTCCCTTTCCCCCAAAGTCCTGTTGGGCTGTGCCTGATCCATTAATTTGGCTCTGGGGTGCACTTCTGAAATCAATCTCACGAYTTCCCACACTTTTGGATGGTGTCCTGGAGTGGCTCAGGAGAGGTCTGGCTTGGGCCAGTATCAACCAGATTCCTTTCAGATGAAACCAAACCCCAACACGCTGCAGGAATGCACCTCATGCTCCCCAGCCACTGATGGGTGTTCAGGCTGCAGGATCAGCCCAGAGCCTGTCTGGAGCTAAAAACACCTTGTAAATCACAGAATCATTTCGATTGGAAAAGACCTCTCAGATCAGCGAGTCCAGCTGTTAACACTGCCAAGCCCACCACTGAACCATGTTCCCACGTGCTACTCCTACATGGCTTTTACATCCCTCCAGGGATGGTGGCTCCACCACTTCCCTGAACAGCTTGTTCCAGTGCTTGACAATTCAGTGAAGAAATTTTTCCTAATATCCCATCTAAACTTTCTCTGGTAAAACTTGAGGCCATTTCCTCTTGTCCCATTCTCTTGTCCTGATTAAACCACAATGTGCCTGGGGGAAGAGCCTGAACCCCCCCTGGCTCTACCCTCCTGTCAGGGAGTTGTAGAGAGCAATAAAGACTCCTTGTACCCCCTTTTCTCCAGGCTCAACACCCTCAGTTCCCCCAGCCCCTTCTCACCATTGTGCTCCCAGTTCCATTGCCCTTCTCTGGACATTCTCCAGCCCCTCAGTGCCCTTCTTGTAGTGAGGGGTGAAAACTGAACACAGGATTTGAGGGGAAATGTAGAGTTAGTGCATCAGGTCCTTGGATGTCTGGGTCTGCTCCTGCTGCACTGTGTTTGTGCATTGGAGCCCAGATTCTCCCAGATTTCCCTTTCCATCACCTTTCTGGGGTTACTCATGGACCAGAGCTTTCCTTTCTGACCCTGATCCCTGTGTCCATGAGCCTCTCCCATCCACCCCTCTGCTCTTTGGCCTCCCAATCCACAAGTTAAAGCATCCGGTGCTTTCCTGTGCCCCTCCATGAGGTGGGCCCYGAGCTGCAGGGATGGAACACCCCGGGAAAAGCCGAATATTTCCCTGTGACTCCACGGAAAGCCGGCAGCTCCGGCCGCACCAAGCCCGCACCGCTAGATGGCAACTGCGCCGTGCGCATGGAGGGGACGGAGCAGCCGGAGGGCTCCCGGCCGAGGCTGCTGTGAATGAGGGGCTGCCCCCGGCTGTCCTCCCCACCTCCGGCTCCTCCTGCCGCCTCCAGCCTCCAGGTGCTCTGCGCYCATCGGCAGAAGCCGCTGGAGCTGCTGGGATCCCGCCGGCCGGTGAGTAATGAGCGATGGGTTTAATTGTTCATGAGCTGCTCCGGGCTGCCTTGGTTCCCTGCCCGTGAGAGCTGCCTGGGGTGGCATTCCCAGCGGGAGCAGCTCGGCTCGGGGGGCTGAGCAGGGCTTAATCAGTCTGGAGTTCCTTGGTTTTCAGTGTCAGCTTCGTTATGTTTTCGGCTGTGTGCGGAGTAACTCCTGAGTGACTGCTCTGAGCCCAGCTCCTGCAGAGAGAGCAGAGCTCACTGCCACTCTACCCTAGCGTGCCATGAAAAGTTCTATAACCTTTATAGAATCATGGAATRCTTTGGTTTGGAAGGGACCCTAAAAATCCCCTCGTTCCAACCCCCATCACCATCTTTTACAGTTGTGCTGTATCTATTACTACTCTAACTTGTGTCCCAGGAGGTTTTGTGCTTTTTTTACTATGGCAAAGATCTGTTTCCAGAGCTGTTTTTTTCTAGGGTTTCTTGACTTCAGTGTTGTGCTTTGCTGCTGAGGATTAACAGCCCCAAATCCCACATTAGATTAATTGACACTAGCCCATGCTGGGGGCTTTGCCACTGCTCAGAGATAACTTTGGCAGACTTGTCCCTCCTCACCAGATAAAGATCAATCACTTGCCTCCAAAAGAGTTGTGACATCCTTGAYCTAAGGACAAAAAAAGAGCCCCCTGTGTTGGTGGGAGAATTGTCCTCTGCTTGGGCTTAATGAAATATGTTGGGACAGGGAAATTGTGTTTCTTCAACCTCCCTCTGCAATGCCTCAGCTCTCGGAAACTCGGGTCAAACGATACAGCAAGCAGAAAAGAAACAGAGCCTGAGAAATGCTGGGTGCTCTCCAAAGGAGTCCCTTAACTAATGATCCTTCTGCTTGTAAGCATCGCAGAGCTTGGGTATGGATGGCCGGGATTTGGGAGCCTTTCGTGCCTGAGAGTCCTGAAGGTGATGGGTGGGAGTTTCAGTGTGAGGGGCTGACACTCAGGGCAGGGGGAGGGAGAAGGCTGAACAGTCCAGCCTTTAAAGAACTTTAATTTTAAGCATTTTTCATTTTAAGCATTTAAAGAATTTTAATTTTAAGCATTTAAAGAACTTTAATTATGACAAAGAGGGTGATTTCTTCCTATCCTTGAAATAAGACCTCACCTGGGGTGAATCACAGCTCCTGAGTGTGTGGCAGCGCTGGAAGGCAGCCGGGCCATGGGATGCACTGCCCACTGGAAATCAGCTCCGCTGAGCCTGCCCTCAGTTAAGCAGCTTGTTGCCCTCAAAGAACCACTGAAATCATTGATCCAGCTGCCGAGCACCGGCAGGAAATTTCTGCTCAACTGGACAGCAGCTTTTTTTTTTTTTTTTTTTTTTTTTTTTTTTTTTTTGCAGCCATGTGGCCAAGGGGAGAAGGGAAAGTGCTGCAGGGGATCTGGCTCCAGAGCTGTGGCCATCCCGCACACATGCCGGCCACGCGCCCCGTGAGCGAGCCGTGGGGAGCTTTCTCTTTGCCAAGTGGAGCGTGTCCCAGCTTTCTGCTGGCCACTCCTGGCTCAGCCTTCAAAGGGAGGGGGTCAGGCAGCCCTGAAGGGTCACTGGCTCCACACGATGGGCTGCTGGAACAGATAGATTCCTCCTGCTGAGTTAATGGTATTGAAAACGACAGASACACAAACACCCCGGTGATTAATGAGCCAGGGATGGGGAAGTCAATCTGAAAGCCAGGGCAGAGATATCAGCCCTATAAGAAATATGGGAAGAATTCATCCCTAATCTAATCTCGCTGAATTCCACAAGCGTGCAAGACAGGGATCATTTGCTGCAGTTCCTTAGGTTGAGAATTAAACAGGAAACCCCCAAGGATGTGAGATGTTCTCGCAAATACCCTGGTGCCTGTCACCAGCTGTGACAGGAGAGCGGCTGCCACRGTCTGAGCCATCTTGTCTGGCTGGACAGGAGGTGATGCCCTGGCTGTGGTGCTGCCAGCAGCAGCGTCCAGCAGCACCCAGCTCCAGCACAGGGAGCTGGAGCCAAGCCTGGGGTCCTCGGTAGCTCTTGCTGCTGCCAATGATGYTCTTTGCCAAACCGAGCTCGAGCCTGTGGGGCTGGCAGAGTTTCCAGAGGGGAATTCTGCTGCCTTGCTCTCTTCCCTGCTCCTGTAACATCCTCTCAGGGGCTGTTTACAGCAAGCACGAGGATTTATTGTAAACCTTGGCTCCCAGACTCTTGGAGCTGCCTCTTCCTCCGAGTTTGGTCTATCCCCACTCCGGCTGGGATTCCATGTGCCCCCTGATCTCCCCCTGGCCCCACTGTACCTGCAGGCGTGCCATGCACGTGTTCCAGGCCAGCACAACCCCTCTCCACTGTTGGGGTGACATGGCAGGGAGCACAATTGTTGCCAGCATCAGCCCCAGTTGCCTTGGGAGCCTGCCCAGGATCCGGTTTCCCTGGAATGACACCGTTCACAAGCACTCGGCCGTGTGGGGTTATTGTTCTGCTCTCGTGTGCTGGCGAGCTGCCATTTATTGTGTGCAGGAACTCCCCTGCTTCTCCCACCATCGGGTCCAGCTTTATTTCCCCCTGTTCTAGGAGGAGATCACTGATGTCAGCTAACTTGGCCTGAGCTCTTTGTAGTGTGAAAAGGAAAACCAGGGCTTTCGGTTTCAATCTGTGCCTTGTCCTCTGAGAGGAGAGCTGGCCTTCCCACGGTGTGTGCTCCCACGCAGGTGGGCGGTGACACGGTGACAGCTCTGCCACTGTGTGCTGGATCCACTGAGCCAGGCTCAGTGCTGAGCTGGGCTCCAGGAGGATGAGCTGCTGTTTGGRGAAAGGTGAAACATTTGGGGTCAATCCCTGCCCTGCCATGCTTCCCATTTGGCCATGAGCAGGTCACTTTGTGCCTCAGTTCCACAGCAGAATAACGACAGCCATGGTGGCCTTCCTTGGCAGAGCCCTGAGCAGATGAGTGCGTAGAGGACTGAGAGGCCTTCAGGAGGCAGGGACTTGGCAGGAGGGATGTGCCCTGGGAGCAGCACCTCGGGTATGGGGTGTGCTGGTTGCTGCTTCTCACCCTCTGGGGACACAGGAACCGTGCTGGAAGGGGCACCCCAATGTGTCCATCGCRGACTGGCTTCTCCCTGTGTTTGCAGGGCAGGGCAATGACTGAAAGCAGGGCAGCTGCGTGCTCTGGAGCATCCTGCTGCTGCTGCCCTGGCTGTCCCGCATCAACGCTGTGCTGTGACAGCTGCTCTGAGCCCGACCTGTCCCAGCCCCTCTGAGCCGCGCTGCACCTTCAGCTCCGCCTGGAGCCGACCTGGCGTGTCCCAGGAAGAGCGGCTGGAGCTGGGGCTGGAGCTGGAGCTGGGGCTGGAGCCGGGGCTGGAGCTGGGGCTGGAGAGCTGGAGAGCTGGAGAGCTGGAGAGCTGGAGAGCTGGAGCTGGGGCCGGAGCTGGAGCTGAAGCTGGGGCCAAAGCTGGAGCTGGAGCTGGGGTGAACGGCCCGGCGACCGTCCCAGCGTCCCTGCTGCTCGCTGATACTGGGGAAAACCGCACGAAAGCGGCAGCCCCGGAGCGATGCTGGACGATGGCAGGGTGCCAGCCCCTCGGGAGCCGGGCAGAGCCGCGTCCCCGCTCCCGGAGCAGCGTGCGGAGCGCAGGGCAGCCCGTCGGGGCGGCGGAGCGCGGTGCTCTCCGGGGCTCCAGGGTTTGCCAGCCAGAGATGTCAGGCGGCAGTCCGGGCTGTGATTGCCCAGCAGCCCGGCCAAGAGGCTCTGAGAAGAAGCAGATAACCGGGCAGGCACCCGCCATCCTCATTAAAATACTTTCTCCGGCGGAGCCCCCCACGCCTGCCCAGCCTGTTCCAATTAGCGCAGCCGGCAGCAGGGCTCCCGCTGATGAAAAGAAAACACTGCCGAGCTTTCAAGTGTCGGGGGAGGCGGGTGGCCCCGGCTGGGACAGCCAGTGGCCCCGGGAGTGTGACCAGCAGCCGTGTCGCTGGCTGGCAGTGGTGAAGTGGCTCATGAGCCGGGTCATTGAGCAGCAGAGCAGGTGCTTCATGGCAGCTCCTGCCGGGAATGGCTGTGGGATGTTAGCCGGGAAGATGTGGCAAAGCTAAAAGTTCTCTGGGAGGTGCTGAGCATCCCTGTCCGGTAGGTTTGGAGGTGGGAAGCAATAAACCCAATGTGAATGAAGAAATTAGCTGTGAATCCTATGGATTCACCCGAGAAAGCCTTGGCAGCTTCGGGAAGAGATCAGCACTGGCTTGGGAGCACTGGGAAAAGAGCAGGAATGCTTTTCCCAGGGCTAGCTCTCCCCGTGACACCCCTGGGGATGGAGCTGTCACCCCAGTCCTGGAGTCTCCGCTGGGATTCTTCACAAGGGTCCCACCAGGATCCCGACCAAACCTACCACCTCTTCTCCAGGGGCCACCAAAGGAGCAGAAACCTGTGACACTGGGTTCCAGCTGGTGACAGAGGGCTGGCCAGCTCTGTATTGGGAATCCTGGCTGTCACCCAGTCCTCCTCCCAGCAGAGGCTTTACAGCCTGTGCACGGCCAGGAGCACGGGCAAAGCTGCCCCTGCTGGGGCCCTGCCAGGATCTGGCACCTGTGGGATTCACCCAGACCCAGCCTGCAGAATCTSAAGCCCAGAGAGCAGCTCCTGAGTGGGGCAGGGCTCCCAAGCCTCCCCAGGGCTGTGCTGAGTGTCAGGCCATGTGGCAGACAGGTGACAAGGGTGGGTTTCAGCCCTGGAGTAWAAATGGCTCTGAGGAATTCAGTGCTGCCTCTGGGGACCCCCGAGGCTCTGGGGAGCTGGCAGCTCAGCAGGCAGCACACAGCCTCTTCTCTGCCTTATTTGGGTACTTGAAAACAACATCAGAGTGGTAAGACCCTTCCGAAGTCCCTCTGATGAGGAGAGACTGCAAGAGCTGGGCCTGTTTAGTCTGGGGGAGAGAAGAGGGAATCTCATTAATGCAYWTAAATATCTCARAGRTGGGTGCCAGGAGGATGRTGCCA